ATGTAAATTATGTTTTAAAAATTCAAGACGTGACTGCCTAGCTGTAGGATATAAAAAATGTTTTCCACACACGTTTCACAAAAAGTCCAAAACATTGCAAAATGTGTTCTCCAGGCGAAATATTTTCAATGATTTATTCAGTAGTTAATGAATCTTATGTATGCTGTTTGGGAAAAACATCCAAACAAATAAAAGGAGTAACTGTGGATGGTAATGCAAGTCCAGATATCGCTGATTTTACTTTAGCTATATTAGATTACAAATATTCAATGATAGACAACAATCCACACATCGGTGTGTCGATATGTTGATGATTTATTTCTTGTAAGTTCAGATTTTTTAACTACAATGACTTCCATATAAGGCACCGAATTAGATTTAGAAATTACAGGCACTGGTACTTCTGTAGACTTCTAAGAAATTATTTTCAGTACTTCAAACCTCGGAGCTATCATTACAACCTTCTACAATAAAATAAACAATTTTAGCTTCACATTTAACAGATATTCCTATTTGGATAGTAACGTTCATTCTAATACACATAATAACATTGTTTATAGTCATTTATTACGATTTCTGCGTATCGAATCTAGTCTTGATGGATTTATAAAAAATGCACTTGCTACTAATTTATAAAAGTCGAGGCTTGCATCGATATAAAATACGCAAGATCTGTCGGTCATTTCTCTCACGTTACAGATTTGAATAGTTCTACCCTAATGGTATCAATTTTAATAAACTGCTTCATAAAATACGGCCTTACATAATTAACCCAGGCTGGAACGCACCAGGCGGGCCGGTGCGATCATGCGTTTTTGCACTTTTCGTGCCGTAGCAAGTTCGCAACAAATCACAGTAGCTAGCCCTATGATGTACTGGCCCTCGAAGTTCGGGAAGTTAATTGTGCAGCTATGTGCTATGTCATTTGTAGATGTCGACTTCAGTGACCCGAAAAATGGAAAGTTGCTGGTCTGCAAAAAAGGCGCACTAGAGGAGTTAAATTTAAAATCTTTTAATCGCACAGGAATAGGGAACATTCCTTCCCGAGTTAGCAGTTCCTCCATCAAAATTTTCACTTGCCCGTACTTGAGTGCCAGACGGTTTTCAGGAGATGAATTTGAAACCTTTTGGTCATACATGAGTAGGGAACATTACCCAAAATTTTTAGCTTTCTGGCTTTTTTCGTTCCCGGGTTAGCGATTTTCGCGCCAAAATTTCCACTTGCCCGTACGTGGATCCCGGAGGTTTTTAAACACCTGATTTTGGTTGTACACGAGTAGGAAACAATCCCATAAAGTTTCAGCTGTTTAGCTTCACCCGTTCCCGGTTAGTAATTTTCGCGCCAAAACTTTCGCATGTGGCGTACGTGGGTTTCGGACATCTCTAAACAACTAATTTTGGCTGTACGTGAGTAGGGAACATTCCCGTGAAATTTCAGCTTTCTAGCTTTTTTCGTTCCGGGGCTAGTGATTTTCGCGCCAAAATTTCCACGTGTACGTACTTGAGCCCCGGGCGCTCCTAAACACCTGATTTTGGTCATACCTGAGTCGGGAACATTCCCCTAAAGTTTCAGCTTTCTAGCCTTTCCCGTTCGTAGGCTAGCAATTTCGCACCAACATTTCTACGCGCTCGTATTTGGGCTCCGTGCGCTCCTGAACACGTAATTTTGCTCGTACATGAGTAGGGAACATTCCCCCAAAGGTTCAGCTTTCTAGCTTTTTTCGTTGCCGGGTTAGTGATTTTCGAGCCAAAATTTCCACGTGCCCGCACGTGGGCACCGGGCGCTTCTGAACACCTGATTTTGGTCGTACATGTGTAGGAAACATTCCCCTAAAGTTCCAGCTTTCTAGCTTTTCCCGTTCCCGGGTTAGTAATTTCCGCACCAAAAATTTTCACATGCCCTTACGTGAGCCCCGGGCGGTCCTAAGGAGCTGAGTTTGAAAACTTTTGGTCGTAGATGAGTGTGGAACATTCCTTCAAAATTTCAACTTTCTAGCTTTTTTCATTCCCGAGTTGTGAATTTTCCCGCCATAATTTTCATGTGCCCATACGTAAGCCCCGGGCAGTCCTGGGCAGCTGAGTTTGAAATTTTTTTGCCATACATGGATAGGGAGCATTCTCCCAAGGTTTCAGCTTTCTAGCTTTTCCCGTTCCCGAGTTAGCGATTTTCGTGTTAAAACTTTCACGTGCTCGTTCGCGGGGCCCAGACGTGCATGAGGGTCGAAACCGCGGTCTTGGGGTGGTACTTGGCTGGGGAACACACTGGCAAAATTTCAGTTTCAAAGCTTGTGTGGTTAGCGAGTTGAAACACCCGGACAGACGAACACACACACACACACACATTGACAGGGTCGTTTCAATATGCGTTTTTGCTGCCTGTTACAGCGCTCTAGTGCTGCACGGCAAAAAACCATAATAACATACTACCTTATTTGATTTTTTCCCATTTTTCCCTATTCCCATTTTTCCCGATTTTTTCTCTTTTTACATATTCCATATAAGCTTTTACTTATTGATTTTCCATAGCTGCCTGCTATCATAACACACAATCTTTTTATATCTGCCTACTAACTTTTCTATCCACATTTTAATTTCCCGAACAGCACACATACCCAGCATCATTTTTATGCGTTTTATGTTGTGTAACAGCGATGCAAAACCCATATTGTCACGGGTTTGTCTGTATGTGTATGTGTGCGTATCCGCAGCAACTTGTTCACAACTTTCAACTCGGGAACCACAAAAGTTAGGAAGCTGAAAATTTGGGGTAACGTTTCCCA